AAGCTGCTATTTCAGACTGTGAAGTGGAATATACAGGTTTTAGAGAAATAAGAATGTGCAACTAATGAATAAGTTGTTTAAGACAGAGCTACATCAAGTATCTTGGGAATGACAAATACAACTCCCATCATTCTGTGCTATTGGGATGTGCAGGCTGAGGTTCATGAGAACTGGAATCTGACAGCATTAGAGCACCACAAGTTTCCTTACTCATGGGGTGCATTGTCCAGAGAAAGGGATAATATTCAGCTTTTATTTCCCTAGGCAACTGAATGGTAACAGACAAAGGCTGCGGTTTGGGCAGTGCTCTTTAATATAAAAAAAGAAAAAGCTTTGATTCTCCAGAAACATTCCAAGTTGATTAAAGCAAGCTTTCTTTTTCAAACATAAGGCTGGTCTGCAACCATTTATAACATTTGGCTCTGCAGTAATATTTTAGTTGAGAAGGCACCGTGCAACAGATGACTTCAATCAGTATACTTGTAATGCTTTTCATACATAGACTGCCTTGAAATCAGGCGGGGCATGTTTGAAATACCAGATGTTTTTTAGAATTTTTAGCAACTGACATACAGGAACCTCTTTTGGCAAAATTTCAAATGACCTTTGCCTCTTGCATTCTTCCATGACTCCATTTATGGAGAAATTGATTCCATCCTGTTCTAAAAACATCTGCAGGCCAATCTATTATAGTTTTCAAATACGTAGAATGAACGGCAAATTTGGCGTTTAGTTAGAGATCCACACTTGTCCAGCATAATTTTTTTAACCAATCACAACATAAGCATTTGGCAGTGATCATTAAAAATATAACCATGTCTGTAAACTAGTCATCCTAAAGCTTGTTTAGAAGTTCAGAGCTGGCATCACATGCACAATGGTAAAATCCATGGAGTGACTTCAGTGGGACTTATTTGTGAGACAGGCTCGTAAACCGTTCCTCATTTCCTGGGAGATTGTCAATTTCGACTTGCTGAGACACTGCCATGGAATGGAAGTTGCTCATGGACATTTCATATCATAAAGTCAATTTTTTTAATTTTTTTTATTTTAACAGTTCCTGTCTTTGATTTTTCTACATCTCTCCTGACAATCATCATGCTACTTCTAACAAAAAATCAATTTGTATTTTTTTTTGAAAAACAGACATGAAAACTTCTTAAAAATTACTTTAAATGGAAAAAAGTAGGAGTAGTTTTTTTTCTCTCTTGAGCTTCCAAATTTTATTACTGATGCCTATGACAAATTTGTTTAAGCTGGTAAAAATTACTTTTTTCCTGTATGAAAATCTTCATTTTGCTTCCTTCGGAATCTCTTCATAGCCTCCTGCGGATTGCAACACGAGTTTGGGAACTTTAGGTCTTAATATGTGCTTGTATTGCATAAGACTGTGAATTCTGTATATTATTGTCAAAGTAGCTCTTGATGTGACAAAAGCAATTACAGTAAAACATTCACAAGGTTATAATATACAATGTAGTGCCTGTTTTCTTGAAAACATAGTACAGTATAGCAGTCCAAACTAACCATATTCCATTTCAGTTGGGTTAAGATTGCAACATTTTAAATTCAGTGTGTAATAGGTAGTTCCCATCATTGGCTGGATCCAGTGTGCAGAACAAAGTGGGTGCTCCCATAAATGGAAATAGGAAGTCTTTTAATCTGATTTTAGCACCCATCCTTGTAATCCCTCCTCTGAAAATCTGTTCTGAAGAGTTGGAAGCCCTTCAGAACCAAAAATTGTAAGAGGAAGGTTGGGACTGGCGGCAGCAGGCCCGACCTGGAGAAGAGAAAATGTGTGATGATTTCTTCCTCCAGCATGGAGACTGTTGGGTCTTGGGGTCTCTCAGTTTATGGAGGGGCAATGCTGAATTCAACCCAATCATCAACAGCTATTGTCTATGCATTAATAAAATGCATAAGCTAGCATCAGATATGGTAAAAAAAAAATCCAGTGCAATGAGATGTTAATAAATGCTATAAGCCACAGCTAGTTTCTTAGAAGTGTCAAGCACAGGGAATGGTACTTTTCCTGATCTGTGTCTTCTGGATTCCAAAGAAACCAGGATAATTTTCTTTGCTGTGTTGCTAAATATTTAAAAACTTTCATGCCATATTGCTGTAGATTATAACTATCCTATTACATCTTTTGAAAACCTGTAATATGGGAGAATAAGTAATATCGCAGTGAGAAATGATTAAGGATATGGTGTTATTTTAAAGCCTTTAATCATGGAGTCAGAAGATTTATTGCAATGTTGAAATATCATGGTTTTGATCTGTCACTGCTGTACAGATTATGTTTTGGCCTGACTTTTCTTGTTTCATACCTCTGGCCAGTGGCACAGGAAAGATGAAATGAACATGCAAGCCTAAAATATGCATGAAGAGCTGCAATGAATGTACAGTCTTACCAACAGGGTTGTGAGGTAGAAAAGGTTGCATGTATAGACAGGTTGTTACAGAAAAACAAAATCTACATTGTAATGTATGATGCATAAAGCTGCAGTCCCTAAACTCTTGGTGATAGGGAACCTATGATTACTTGAAATTTCTTAGCATTTGAACCGGGTTACAAGAATTAGAAAAACATACTTAATTTGGAGTTCTTGTTATCATTTCCATTGCAGACAGAAGCAATTTTCTGTCTGCAATGATAGGGCTAAAATCAGTGACATCCTGAGCCCTCCATCCTCTGTCCTCCTCATCTTTTGTAGGGCTGAGGCTGCCTCTCAATCCTCTCTTGTGTCTCCATGCCTCTAACTTCCCTTCCCCCCACAAAAAAGCACCAATTGCAGCCACTCCGTGAGACCAGTACCTCTCTTCTGGGAGGACAGCTAAGGAGGAAAGCAAGGGGGAAGGCAGGCAGAGATGAAAGTGTGAGGAGGGAGAGAGTTGAGGCAAAGTAACTGGATTGAGATACAGCAGTGAAATTGAAACACAAGGCTTGAAGAGTTGAGGTGGAGAGTAGTAGAAGTGTGCTGATTCTGGTATCCTACCAACTGTGGTAGCTGCTTCATTAAGTTACATCACAATAAGCTTTATGTCACCCATAGGTGGACTCCACAGATAGTAGCACTGCAGTTCTCTTGTAACTTTCTCAAAGTTACTTCATGTGGATTAGGAAGGAAAGTCCTATTTAATTTTTTTTAAGTCATCTTGAACACACTCACTAGGAAGTGAGACCTCTGATTCACCATATATAATAGGGGGTTTCTTCTGAGAAAATGTGCATAGGTGGTATTGCAAATAAACGTATTCTAGATCCTTAAACTATTGGTCCAGTTATATACAGAATATGTGTGTGATGCTAAAACAGGCCAATGGAAACAATGTAATTCTTATATTTATATGATAGAACTTTCAAATATTTGAAAGGTAGTCATCCTGTCTTCTCTGATTACACAACTGCAAACAAATCAACACATCATTGTTATACAAGGATATATGAATGAATGCTATGAAGGCCACCTATGTACACCTTTGTAAATATCTTGGGAGGAAAAGATGGTCCAAAGGGCTGTGTTTTGTATTGGAAATGCATAGATCAGTGAGCAAAATGGAGATAATGTCTGGAAGAGGGGTAAATCAGAATACCGAGTTAAATCTCCAGGAGATCTAATGAGACTTGGAAGTTGCCAGGGCAGAGAGACTCCCAAGATGAACCAAAAAGTCTTCATCCTGAATATTCTTCTGACAAACTGATTCACCCTTTTAAGTCCAGAATTTCATTGCTTAGCCAGCTTTGTTCAGCACAGTGAAGTATGTAGAATACAGCCCTTGACATCTCTGAGATGATATCACTGGCTGTATCACTCCTACCTCCAACAGGCGAACAGTGGCTTGAAGTATTCTGGGAAGCTTTTCTCAATTGTTAGATTTTGAGGAGAGAATTGGGGGGAAAAAACCTTGAGGTTTTGAGTGGCTGTCCCAAACTGTGCTGAGAATCAGTTATGTTCACTAAAGGGTAAAAAGAAAGTAATACGAAGCAAGCTAAAAGCAAAAGTTTTTTTTTTCAAATAAAAGAAGCTGAAATTAAATGAATAGAAAGACTGAAGTAAGAGTGCTATTGAGAGGTAAGAAAGAGCCTTTTCAGAATGTAGGTAAGAACCAACTGGCCTACAGAGGGTTATCCTCCCACTCAGGGCCTGATCAGCCAAAGTCTCTTTGGTGAATTCTAGATATGTTAGAGTTTAATAAGGAGGGGGAAATAAAGCTTGCAGAAAGAAAATTGGGTTGTAATCCTTCTACCTCCTTACCTAGGAGTATGTACCGCTGAGGTTAGCAGAGATTACTTCTGGATAGACTTGTACAGTATAGGATTGCACTATTGGTATGATTTATCTTTGTGCAGGGAATGAAGTGATAGAAGAACTGAAAAAAAACCACGTGGGAGGCAGGGAAAGTGCAAAATTTGAACTTTCAGTTAACTGTTGGCCAGTGAAAAGGGTCCCTGTCTGCTTCCTCACTCCTCCCAGCGTTTAGAGAGTGGATTGGGAGACAGTCTTCAGACTGCCTGGTACTGTACTGCCTGGACTGTATTTTCCCTGCCTTCCCTGAACCTTTCTTGACCTAAGAAAAAAAGAAACAAAATATCCCCCTCTAGTGGTCGAAGGCGGAATAGCAGCTTCCCATTAGTTTCTATGGACGGAAAAGAGCAGATACGGATCAAATGGTTTTCAATGCATTCCTATGGGAAATGCAGATTTGACCTGAGAACTTTTTGACTTGAGAACCGCCTTCCAATATGGATTAAGTTCTCAAGTCAAGACCCCACTGTACCTCCTTACCTAGGAGTATGTACCGCTGAGGTCAGCAGAGCTTACTTCTGGATAGACTTGTATAGGATTGCACTATTGGTGTGATTTATCTTTGTGCAGGGAATGAAGTGATAGATTTTTTAAAAAGTTTTCAGTATTTTTCACAACTCTTAGAAAATGTTATGCGTTCTGGAAAAAAGTTGTTCTAAAACTGTTCTTTTCCTTTCTGTCCCTCTCTAGATGGGCTTAGGACATGAAGAAGGATTTGGAGCACCCTGTTTAAAATGCAAAGATAAATGTGAAGGATTTGAGTTGCATTTCTGGAGGTAAGAAGAGGGCCTTCATTTTTATGTTGCAAGTAAACTTTGGCCAATCTAAACATTAAGCATGTATGTGAAGACATAGACCTTGTTCAGATGCAGCACTAAATGATACGCATAAGGGTACAAATTTGGAACAGGTTGCAGTGGAAAAACTGAGGAACTTGATGTCTTGCATGTTCATGTACGTCTGTGAAGCTCAAGTGAAAGTTCAAAATCAGAAGCTGCAACTTGCTCTGATTAGAAAAATAAACTTGAATTATGCTAGAATTGTCAAGGGAGATGAAGCAGGATATAAATAATGGGGCCAGACCACAATGTCTGCAGTTATTCAGAATGAATTCTCAGACATTCTGTGGACCTGGCTCACAACTAAAACTAGGTATAGTATCAGTTTTGCTCTACATTTTGATAAAACAATGTTTGACAGTGCTATGAATTTCATTCATCCAAATAATTAAGTGTATCAATGCTTTATAGTTAGCAATGTGGTCAAATTGTATGTTTTTTCTTCTTAAGAGGGGCACTTGCTTTTTTCTGCACATCACACTCAGAACTAGAAACTCGTAATGGCTAAACAAGTTTTCAGAAACCTTGCACCTTCCTGTTGTATTGAATGCCATGTCACATTGCCCCAGGTAGTTGTGTGATCATACTAGTTAGGAACAAGGTGCAATCCAGTATGGGGATTGGGGAGAATGTTGAGGTAAACCAGCGTTTAGCTATTGGCTTACAGTTTCCCCCTTACTTTACCCTCTCCTATTTTTCATGTTTTGGTTGCCTTTTGGGCTTCTTGATTTAGGTA